ACTAAGCACGTGCCATCAAGCTTCTGTAGCAATCCTCAGTCTCGCCTTGTTTTGGTCTCTCCGCGGAATTCAACGGGTACTGAGATTTAAGTTCGGCAGCTATACCAGACAGACACCAGAGCCTAGCAGACCTGCCTTTCGACACAGCTTGAACATGAAGCAAGTGATCCCAGCTCCCTGTACCTCATGCTATGTTTCTGCTTTCGGATCTGTGCCCCACCCTGTAGAATCCCGTAAATGTGTCGCTTTGAAAGGGTCCAAACCCAAAGAACCAGGCTTCAACAAACATGAGCTGCAAGGATTCATCTCGTTCATTATGCATTAGACTGGTAGGCACCCTGGATTTTTGTCAAGTCCACCATTTGCAGCGTGGGACTGACGTGACAAGCCGCAAGTCGCACCCCGAGAAAGTATCTGGTCTGCTGTGGTTCTGTGACGTTCTGCGAGTCTCAGCAGTCGCCCAGTCTCCATCAACGTTTATTCGCAGACGTTGTGAACTAGTAACCAGATACCGTGCCCCTTCACCTGCACCCAAGGCGACCATTGCACCTCAGCAGCAGTGGGCTTTCCAGGAAAAGCAATCTATACAGCATTGTTTAGTTGTAGGAGAACCTGCTCTGGAGAACGGCCACGGGTGCATGAGATCATGTTACGATCCCAAGAGGCCCGGAACCACATCGAGATGGCCGGCCTTTCACATGTTGTGACTGTCCAGCTTGGCCACTCTGACGATGCCGTGCAATTGGTCCTCGAGAAGTATGGCGAGCGCAGCGTTGACATGGATTCTCGGCTCACTTTATTGAACTTTATTGTAAGGCTAAACATACATCTTAGAACAGCCATGTGGCGGTCTCTTGTGGCTCGTGCTGTGTCTTGCTTTGGCTTCTTTCAACAACCACTCACGGCGGAGAGGTGTTCATGGATCAGCGCGGGACAGCCGCGGGACTGCAATGGGTCTCGTCAACTCTTGACCTGCGGGTACTCAGGTAACATGGCTATGCGTGTTGTCTGGCATTCGAGCACGATTCCTGCACTTGCGTACACCGAGTGCTAGACTACGAGGCTTTCCACGATGATTTGCGGACCTTGGATGCTCGGAAGCAGAATTTTCCTTGGAGTGCATCTGTACATGCGGACCGAGATCAATGGATCATGTTATTTTTTCAGGAAGGCATCAACATTCTCGCAGACAATGCAGTTGTCATCGCTGCAGCTCGGCGAATCAGTCATGTAAAACTACTCCGGCTTGCACTTGTGTGCTTTCCGTCGTGCAAAGCATTACATTGACATTTTGCCCTCAGCCGGTCACTACGCCCAGGACAATGTGTTGAAACCTGGAGCTCCATATCACGTGACACTTCCGCACATTCGGCTTCAATGTTTCGTCAATCTGTCAAGTGCTCTCTTGCAAGGTGTGGAGAATTTCTACATTGCCACACTATGCGACTGTTTCGAAGCAGCATCTACGATGTGCCTAAAGGAGGCACGTGCGAGCGACGCATGTGTGAGTGGGCGAGGATATCATCGATCTGCGTGAATTCGGCTCGGCACCTGTAGAGGAGTGGGGAAAGGCTTTGCCCACGAGCTTTCATGACTGAGACGTGCAGCAGGGCTTTCCCGCTCCGTAACCGCACTGCGCCGAAGGACTGGATGACAGTCTCATGGGTCTCACGCGGAAACAGCTATGGAAAGCTTCCTGTCGACGTGCGTGAACTGAATGAGCTGGCCCGTGAATCCGATAGGTTCAGGTCGGATGTGCAAGATTTTAGTTTGTTTCGGTGTTGTTGTCCGATGGAGTGTCTATAGCGATTGGCAGGTTGAAAGCCATGGCAACATCCATGAAAGATCTGGTTGGTGATCCTCTCGACGAGTTCGCCAAGAAGTTCACGGAAGAGTTCGTGAAGCTTGGCATCAGGCCCGCAAGCTGCATTTGGCAATCGAGCCGAACCTCGCACCCTTCTTACAGGACCAGCATGTACGTCCGAACCGACATCATTGATGGGTGCGCCGTATCCAAATTGGTGCAGTTGGGGCCCGGTGAGGCTCCTCCATCGTGGGGTGGAGAGGCCTGCGTTTGCTCAGACGTAGTTTCAGCAGATTCCAGAACATGGGTCTGTGCGGAGGATCCCCGTGATGAGATTCAAGGTGGACAGTGGAAGGGCGTAGTCGGTGGAGTGCAGTTCCGCGGAGAACGGCTACAGAATGCCGAAAGACTGGGCTACCCCGGTACAGTTGGCGACTTGCACGGATCTCTGCCTCAATTACCTCGTGCGCGCATGTGTGTCTGTGTGTGTGTGTGGGGGTGCGCACCCTGATTACAAGATAAGGATCTTTGGCTCTGTCATGTTGACGCCTTTGTCTTCCGGAGTCATGTTTTGCCGCAGAATGCCGCAGAGCAGGGGGGGCAGCGCATGCCTGACAGCCACTGCCCAACGAGGACACTGTCAGTTTTTGGTGGCATCTGGCCTGATCAGCCAGACGTACTTGCACATACCTGCATTTTTCCCTGGTTCTTTCAATGGCCAGACACATCCGTCTTGCAGCCTTAGAACTGCCTGAGAACCTCAGCAGAGTTTCACTTGCACACGTTTTCGGTTCCATGTTGCACTCGTTGAACACTTCAGGGACTTCTACGTATGCAGCGATTTCTACCGTCCAAGAAATCATCGTGGGCATTGACCCATTCGATGAGACATACCCCTTATCCCCGTGTGCCAGTGTGTTTGTGTGTGCCTTGGTGTGTGTTTGGATGTGTGCGTGCACTTCTCTAGTATATGAGATAAGGGGTTCACAGTTCACAACCCTTCTGCCTGCAGCTTGCCATGTCAGCAGGGGTGTGTGGCGCTTGCATCCTACCATACTCAACGAACGAAGCTGTGGATGCAAGTGGGAAGCAAGACCTGATCAGTTTTGTGTATCTGCCTTCGGATAAGCCAGTGGGCCCCCTGAGACACTGGAGTAACCAAAGCTAGACTGACCGCCCGCACGTCTGCTGCAATCTGTCTGCATACATTGGCTCCATGCAAATTGCAGCTGCACAACATTTGACAGTAATGTAACCACACATCCGTGAGTGCGCGAACACTTTCTCAGTGCGTGCGTGCGTGCGTGCGTGGGTGGGTGGGTGGGTGTGAGAAAGAAAGAAGACAGCAAGGAAGAGAGCTGAAGAGAGAGTGCGTAAGTGAGTGAGTGAGTGAGTGAGTAACTGACTGACTGACTGACTGACTGACTGACTGCATGGTGCGCGAGTGCATGAGTAAGTACGTGAGTGCATGAGTGCATGAGTGCGTGAGCGCGTGAGCGCGTGAGTGCGTGAGTGTGCGTCAGTGAGTGAGTGCGTGAGTGAGTTAGTGAGTGCGTGAGAGTGCCCGAGTGTATGAGTGCATGAGTGCGTGAGTGCGTGGGAGAGTCGCGTGTGTGGTGTGCGCGCGAGTGAACGAGTGAGCGAGTGAGTGAGTGAGCGAGTGTGTCAGACAGAGAGAGTGAGAGAGAGAGAGAGAGTGCGAGAGAGAGTGTGTGTGTGAGGGTGAGAGAGAGTGTGAGTGTATGTGTGTGTGTGTGTATGCGTGTACAACGCTGGTAGCTTGGGAGTCCGATTCGGGCACGGCTTTAGAGTCCAGACCGTGCCTAAAACACCTATGAAAGCTGATGAGAAGCAAGGGCTGATCACCCTTCTGTACCTGCCAAAGTTGTAAGCTCGTATGTCATCCTCGCCCTGTATGGCTGCCCCATTCTGACGAGCCCGTGCATGTGGAAGGTCTTGCGCAGGAAAGTGCCAGCCACTTCTGTGTATGTGGCTACATATCTTCACCTCACCTCTCTTCAAAGTTACACGAGCAAGACGAAGACTCTGTCAGAGCGATGGTTGCATATGTGGGCACCTAGATGGTTTTTCGTTCAACATGCCGTCCGGCAAGTGTGCCGACTGCGTCGAACCCTGATCGGTTCGAGTCTGGCCCTGTACTGTTTGACCCTGACTCCACAAAGCATCAGCCTTGACCGGCGGCGAAAGTACGAGCACGTTAGCAAGCTACATGCGACAAGCGCATGTCAGCATGACGATTTCTGATACCCATGACGCCACGCTTGCCTCCATCAGTGCTGATGCCTGCCGCAGCAATACCCTGCAGAATGATTGCAGGGGGCTGCCGCCCCAGCGGCCCGCGTGGCCGAGAGGCCTGAGCCAGTTCTAGCGCGTGGTTTTCAAGTTCGAAAGCAGCACTCTCGGCCCCTTGCCAGCCCTGCTCCAGCAGGTGGGCTTGGCTTGTCTGAGCCCGCAACCTTGCATTGCATGACACGCTGCGTGCTATGAAGGCCACGGCTACAGCAGCACTGGCTTCAGCAAGCCGAACGCCAAAGTAATTAAAGCATTGTTCTCTCATTTCTCAGTGACTACTTTCTGCGTTTCTGAACACAATCTCTGAAGAAACAGATCATACAAACCAAACGCCTCATGTTTGTTTTGCAGGCCCCATTGCTCATCGCATGTCGCATGTCGCACGTGCCATAAAAAAACATTGGTGTGGCAGGCTAGGGCGCAATGGGGTCTGTACCCGCAGCTCTTGGGAGCGAGTGTCAGGAACTACAGTACTTGGAAGATGAACCTTAGTACGTACCATCCAGGCCGCTGAGTAGGCCAGTCCCAGCAATCACACCCAGACAAGCGTTTGCAATTCGCAAGCTGCTACGCTAACACGTTTTAAAGAATGTCAGCGGCATTCCGCTGCAGAAAGCCTTCACGGCAGATGTCCGTCCTCGTGCCACTACGAGATCTAGATCGGATCAGAAGTGCCATGCTGCATCGTAAGAGGCATTAGCCTGGGCCTAGACTGCGGGATCTGTTCGAGCCATTATTTGACGGAATATCATATTCACAAAGAAAACTACTTCTCTAATGAAGCGCGAAGTTCACTACAGTATATATCGTGCCATATAAAAACAAGAGTGCATTCAGAACTACCCACATACCTTGGTGTCTTCCGTACAGCATCGGTTTCTGATCAGATCTGAGCTCCGAAATCGCCTGCGAATACAGGAAAAGGCCACTCTGGACGCTCTCCCATCCATGTCTCATCGGTGCTCTGCGGATATCTGCACCCAGCCTGGGCATGTCATCTGCAATCCCCAACATGATGCAGCACCATCCTTGCGTAAAGGGATGTCCCATGCTGGGACCCTTCACATCCCTCGATGCTCCCGGAGTCAGCCCGGAACTGAGTGGAGCATGTTTCATCGCGCCTGCGTGATAGCCTCAGCCCTAGTACCTCGAATGCAGGCACGTCGCATGCTCCACGACGTGCATGTCCTCAGCTTGATACCAAGGTTTGGAATGCAGGCAGCTAGAAGCTCAATCTGGATCGCTTACCGGCACAGGAGGAGAGAGGAACGGCATTTAGGCACGATGAAGGACCTGGCCTGGATTGGGAGGCACTTAACCGAAAAAGTCTTTCCAACCTCAGGATACTGGGGACCACACGTTGGAGCCGTAGGGCTCCAGACCCAGCGCCCGAGCCCGGTTGAACATCTCTTGCAGCATGGATGACCTGCAGTCTGCAGCGATTTCGCAAGAGACGATGTCTCGGGCTTTGCAGAGTAAACGAATCCTGGTGCGGCCGAGTAGCTTGACGATGGGTACGCGGGATAGAAAGTTGATACCAGTAAAAGTGATGCCATCTTGCTCCGAACCTGCGCTCAGGTTGGTAAGCCCTCCAGCAGTTTTCTGCAGCACCTGCTGAGAATATGAATACTAAAAACAACGTCCCGGAGGCCCCACGCCTAAGCACTGGAACTGTATGGCCCGGGTGTATTCGTAGCCAGTCTCGGCCGTGATCTCTGGATCGCTCCAAATCTCCAGTACCATGTTGTCGAACCTAGCTATGCAGCCGTACAAGGCAGTGCACAGAAGCATCCTGCAGATTGCAAGACGCGGAACTCTTGGCCAAAGCCAGTTTCCAACATGACCCCCGGCTCGGCCGGCTTGTAGTACATGGTCATGTTGCAGGTCCACCTGGATACAAAAAGCATGACCGCGACTGCAGGCTAGATGGTCCCTAGATCGTCAAACCTTTTCCAGGCAATCCGAGCACGTCAACCGAGTACTGGACATGTTCATCCTTCTGTTTCCATTCCTGCAGTTCTGCCGGACGTTCTTATCAGACTCGCCCAGATGGGCCCCAACACACAATGGAAAAGAGGCACTCATCTTGAGGTCAACGCTCCAATGGCATCCGAGCTTCGCATTGTAGCCTGGAAGCCACGGGCCATCAACACCCTTCTTCCAGGGCCACGGACATGTCACTGTAAACCTTGAGCAGGTGCATGGTGCAGACGTCCGTCGTGAGCTCTAGACTCTAGTCACGAGGATTCGGCCCCAACATCATGTTTTGCAAAACCAAGGTCTCGTATTCATTCCAAGCTGCATGTCTTCAATTATGTTTCCATGCCGTGTCATATTGAAGCGAGTACAACCACATCCGTTGCACTGCGTGATGTCATGGAAGGCGAGCTCATACCACACTCCAACCTTCAGCGAGCTTGAGCACTGGTCGAGACAAGACTGCATCTAGGCTTGAGCTCGTGCAATCCAAGGGCATATTTATCCACGTTGAAAGCAGGCAAAGTTGGACTCCTGACATCCTCATACTTGGGGCATTGGAGGGTGCCCTTCCTTGGTTGGCTGCCACTTGCAATTTGCTGGAACTGAAGGTGCAGCCTCTTGCGCCAAGGTTCGGTGTCTCCAGCAGATAATACCATGGCAAGCCACCACGAGGATCGATTGGGTTCTCTACCTGGGCCATTTTATCACGACGAGCAGGAATCTCCCTTCCACCTTTTTCCACACTGCCGCATAACAACTGAACTCTAGTTGCCAGCCAGCGCTGCCGGCGGAGTCCCCATGCTTTTTCTTGGTGCGGTTTCCATTGCAGCAACGCTCAGTGATCGGATCATGGAGTCTGCAAAAGTCTCCTTGGCTGCAGCTTGATCTGTGCCAAAACTGAAATATTTCTAGCACCTCACATGTGAAGTCGTACATGTTCCCTCGGCACCTGTCTTAACGTTTCACCCGGGCAGCTATCACTTTTCATGATCACTACCAGGCCATTTGTAACAGTGGTTGATCCTGGCACCAAAGTATAATCCCTTTTGGCAGCCTTACGACGGATATGATCAGCATAACCCTGCATCTACTTTCTCAACGGCACATGAGCGATTCATACTGTTTGCATTGCTTGCTCTGTTCTCAATAGTTCTCAAATGTACTATGCACCATGTGCGTCATGAAGCTTCGGGGGTGGATGCGCTGTTCTGAAACGCACACAACCATGCACGTCTTTAGGTTTTGGGCAGGCATGCCTTGTTCTCAAATGCACTGGACCATGGACGTCATTAGCTTTTGGGCATGGATGCTCTGTTCTCAAAGGCACTAGACCATAGACGTCATTAGGTTTTGAGCATGGATGTTCTGTTCTCAAACGCACTAGACCATGGACATCATTAGGCTTTGGGAATGGATGCTCTGTTCTCAAACGCTTTGGATGAGCATCAAGACCACCAAAAGTAGACAAAAAAACATTCATTCTGATCGCTAGTTTTCGGGCACGAAAGTCCAGACCTCAAAAAACAGCCAAAAAAACAAAACAATCTCAAAGACGAGTGCTGTAAATACCAGCATTTTTGGCTGCAAGATTGAAGAGCAAGGTTCAAAAGACGACAAAAAAGAAGCAAAAACCCGTGCGCTTTCCAAAATTTCAACAACGAGTAAAGAAAACGCTGTAAAACACTGCATTTCTGACAGCAGGAAGTCTGAAAAATGATAGGTCTTGGTCTTGCGCCAAAAAAAAGTAGGACTATTGAGCAGTATCCACTAATACGAACCTACTCCTACTCCTACTACTACTGCTGCTGCTACTGCTGCCGCTGCTATCGCTACCACTATGGCTGCGGCTTCGGCTGCGGCTACTACTACTTCTACTACGACGACGACGACGACTGCTACGAGCTGCTACGACGACGACTAAAACTACGTACCCCCGAAAGCTACCCCTACTACCACCACTCCTGTTGCTGCTACTACGCCGACGACGGAAACTACTACGACGGCGGACTCTACTACTACTACTACTACTACTACTACTGCTGCTGCTACTACTACTACTACTACTACTACTGCGATATGTCGCGCTACTGTAATATTGTCGTTACAATGTTTTGATCAAAATACTAGTCTTGCTTATCATCGCAAACACCTCGAATACCATGTGCAGGATGATCGCGAAGCCAAACTCAGTCATGACCGTCACCATGCGACTACATAAATACAGGCAGAAGAAACCTTTCAGAAATCTGCGAAGAATCCATGTCCGAGCGGTTCACCACGGGAGCTGCGCTGTGAGCAGTGATCAGAAGGTCTCCGTTGACTGTCAGGCAGGAAGCCGACCTCATCCCGCCCCACCCGGTGGCTCCGCTGGACGGCCTTTAGCCTGCAAAGCTGTCGTGCGTGCCTATGCTCCACCAAGGAGCATCATGGATCCACTGATGGCTGTAGAAATGCCAAAGAATATCTTGTCTAGTCGAAGGCTACCTTTGCAGAGGTGCCAAAGGATAAACAAGGGACTGAAGCTTCCAGACGGGCTCCGAGGTATTTTATGCCAACTTATTGCCACCACACATCACACACTCTCGCTTCTGGGATGTCGCACCGCTCCTGGTCAAGTCACCGTAGCTGCCATTGTCAGGCCCCTGGCTATATATCCCGGCGTTGGACCTCTGCGGACCAAGCTGCAAGACTTCCTGCTATGAGAATTCCCACACAGGGACTGTCAAATGAATCTCTGCAAACCTATCCAGAAGAGGAGCACGGTAACCGAGTAGGCGCGACCCAGAGTACTTGGATCGTTGGCCGTTTCCCGGATTATGTTGTCCTGGATGTGTGGGCAGGAAATGGCAAAGATCACTCGGCCGTTGTACAGAACAGTCCCAGCATCCATTCGCAGAAGGCGAATCCCGATGTCAAAAAGCCGCGTGGATTCGGCTGCATATCCTTCAGACTTCTTGCATGCGTGCAAGCATCGTCGACATTATGGACCCATGAAGCCCACAGGCCTGCTAGGCTGAGCCGTTTCTCTGAAACTTCATCGCGCCTTTCTCTGCCCACTCGCGCACGGCGAAGTCTGCCGCTCGCGCCAGCTCCCAAAATGGAACGCCTCGAATCAGCTTTTTCGCTTTGACTAGTCGCAGACCCGTCTGATGAAAGGTGCCCGGCCTCCTATTCTCGAACGTATGCTTGCATTCTCATGCTCTGCAGCATAAGCTTGGCCACTCTTTGGTAGCCTCGGATGCTGGGAAAGCATCTCCGGTCATGCTGCCTTCGGAGAAACCTAACGCGGTATGAGCCGCCACCCACATCTACAAGTACTGAGTACACACTACGCAAGCCAGGGTACAATCGCAGCGTGAAGTCCAGCGCACCTTGTTTAACTCAGGTCACGCCGTCTGACACCTAGTTTTCCTCAAACTGTCTTTCAGCCATGGAACCAGACGCATAGGCCATGGTTCCCTCCGTCCAGTCTCCGCCAGGGGCGAAACGGCGCATGTCGACCCCTGGCAGGCAAGTAGCCGTCGTGACGACGTTTGGGTGGCGAAAGCTAAATCCAAGCTTCAGCGGCACATCTCCATGTTGGGGCTTTCTGCGGCTGGGGCACCCAGCAGCATACGATAAGCTTCGTATGCGAAGTCCTGGAGCTGCCAAGAATGCTGCTTGATGCGCACCCCGCGTTGCATGGGACCAATGCTCTGAGCAGTAATGAGTTTGCTCTGCGATCTGCACATTCAGGATCGGGTCTTTGCCCACTCCAAATTCCGGCAGACAGTTGCCTTCTTTGTTCCTTTATGCATCTCTTCATCCTATCTGAAGCACCAAGACCCACCTTTCCTAACCGAGAGCGTCCTGCGGCATGATAAATGAAGGGCAGTACAGAGGCCACCGAGCGGCAGCAGCTCTACAATTTTTGTAAGGGACGTTGTATTCAGTACTGTAGACGAAGTGAGGTTCTTCAAAACCGGGAGCGCATATCTCGAGCATCTCAATTTTTGCTCCAGTCAACAGCTTTCGGACATCGCGTGATCATGACCGCCCTGTCCATATCGTCGTTGCTGATGTCGCTGGTGGCAAGTAAAGCGGCTGCTGCAACGGCCATGGACCTTCTCAAGATCTATCTACAGTGGAATCTACAGCATACCCAAACTTTGGCCAGACAAGTACCCAAGGCTTGGCTTCCGACATGGTGACATTGTTCTCTCTGCACAGCTGCCGCAGTTGCGAAAGATGTTCCGCAGGGAGGCTTCGGAAGGTCACGACATTCTTGCCTGAATCACGCGTTGCAGTCCATATGCAAATCAAGCAACTGCTTCAACCGTGCAGCAGTGGCAGCTGGAAGGCAGCAGCAAATCCTTGCACTACTTATGGAGGGGCCCGACCGCTTCACTGACAGGGCAAATGCTGCGGAGGATGCCTTCCTAGACCTTTCGACATGTGCAGTCGTTGCGGGTCTGTCAATGTTGCTCTTGAGGTGCGACCTTTGGCTCAAGAGCCCTGTCTGCCCTCAACTTCAGCGGAGTCTTCGTGCAGACATCCACAGCGTCTGTGGTGGCTGTGCTTTTAAAGTGCGGCCCGCAAACGGGTGAAATTGGGGGTTCTCGCTCTGCCACGGCACGGCTTTCAGACCAGAAGTCGCTCTCCGACGAGACGGCCTGCGCAAGCACGCCGAAGCAGAGACCCAGGCTTCAGACTCCGTCGCCCTCAACGACCACCACGATCATCATGGTAGGAGATAAACACTACAGTCACTACAGCTGTGGAGTTGCGCCTGTACCTTCTCTGGGGCCTACTACCTCGTGAGACTGTGCTGCGCTGAAAATGTAGCACCAGCGAGTTCCTCTGCCATCAGCAGCTTGGCGTTCCCTTCTGCGGCAGCTGTGGGTACCGTCATGTTCCTCTCCTGCCGAAGTGCAGCGATGTGCGAGAAAAACAAGTCCGCAACTTCCAGGGGGCCGGGTCCTGTGCTACAGGCTGAGCCGGATTGAGCCCGAAGTTCTTCCGGACCTGCTGCCGCGGCTAAGAGAAGCTCAGCCGCAACAGAATCCACAGCTCGAGGCGACTAGAGAAGCTCTAGACACCTGACACACCTGACTTGGACATGCTGGGCGCATGACATTTCGTTCCGCTGAACGAAGTGCGGAAGGAACTTTCATGAAGGGCACCGCGCCAGCACTCGCCTGTGAGAGAGCCTCGCGAAAGCTCGAGGCGACTTGGTACTCGACATGCGAATAAAATGCAAGGAGGTGTAACCAAAAGAAGTCATAAGCGCAGATACTTCTCTTGGCGATCAGTGTCTGGCCGGCAATGAGTTTCAATGGGGGACATCGCATGAAGGGAAAGCTTGGGGATGCGTCTCTGAGGTTCGCACATATCCCGCCAATTTCTGGACGTCCAGCTCATCCTGAAGGAAAACGTCCTCGCAACCAATAGTCCCGCCGCAGGCTTGGATGCACGAAGGCAAGTTGGCTCAAAGCTCGTGTTTCGCCCTGTTGGCAGAACCCTCCGACAAGACAACTAAGGCAAAAATGCACAAACCACAAACATGCTCAACTTGCGACCTCCAGGGAAGCTGGCAACGCTGCAGGCTTGGGATCCTCAATTGGGTCGCCTGCGGCAAGCAGTGGCGCATAGTGGCGCTAAGCACCGTGGCACCGTTCTAAAGGAGGATCATTCCAAGCTTGCTGACAAAACTACCTGCCCGCAAACAATGAATTCCCCCAACGAGCTGTAGCTGAGCGTAAAATGCACTTCATGTGCCCTTGACTTGCGAATCCCAGTCTCGTTCAGCTGGCGTGCCACGGGTAGCTAGTCAAAGGTTGCAGAGGACTAGGCAGCAGGCCTTTTTCAGCGGCCTCCATGTGGGAGAGGAGATCGTGCCTGACAGGACTGCGTGCTCCTTCAAACTCGTCCCTTTCGCCTCTGAATGTTGGGCTTCATTGCTCTTCAGCGCCAAGGTGCAGCAGTATGTTGGCACTCTTCTGGTCATCAATGGAATGGACGAAGCTGAAAAGCAACGCACTGCCTTCGAGGTGCAAGGGGCACCATCCCCGCAAAATGCTCGACAAGCACGTCGGAATTGTACCGGCTGTGTTACTCTTGTACCACTTTGCATGACAGGAGGCGTCCACCACGGGGACCTCGGAAACCTGGTTGACCTCGGCTTCTCTGCGACACTCACGCCACCGGCGCAGGCTCTCCGCAGATTACCACGGCCATAGAATCCGGGCATCTCGCGGAGCAATCTGAGCTTCCACAGCGGGCCATTCTCAAAGTCGAAGGTTGTCTTGTCCAAGGACTGCTCAAAGTGTGCTTTGCCTCCGGCCGAAAGTTCTTGTGATGCATTCAACTCTGAGACAACTGCTGGGTGCCACACACTTTGCATCAAAGTCCCCGCTTACCTCGCGAGTCGCTTTCATGTGATGAGGCATGACAGAGCAAGGGGGCGAGTCCTTTCCTGTCATTCTTATACCTCACTTCGTCGCCACGGTAGCCGCCAAGACACATCCTCGACCATGAGGCCACGTTCGGTGAGCTCTTCCTTGCTAAGAGCTGTGGGTTCCCAGCGCCACCTGCAACTTGCCAACTTGCCCCCAATCTCACAAGGGACACGATGCACGCTGAAGTGAGGCTGCCTGCCGTCTTGGCCTCCGTGAAAAAAGGGTCCTGCAGATAAAACATGCCCCTTTTCCTAAGCCTACGATCCTCAGATGATGAAAGTGCAAGGAATATGAAGGAATGCTCCCCTGGCTTGGCTTGAACCGATTCGGGTCGTGCGTAATCTTTACCGTCCTAGCCATGCGGACATAATTTCAATCTGGCCATGCCTGTGTCTTTGCCGAGCACCGTTGGTTCACGTGCTGTCGCCCGCATCATGGGGTGCCGCAGAATCGCCCAAGAAAGAGCCTGGACATTGCGAGACCAGGATTGCTTCTGCACAAGGCTTGGGCGGGCGAACAACTTAGCTTTGTCGTAGCATGTTGTTCAAGCAAGCAAACAAAAATCACATGCAGATACACAAACACACGTACATAATACTAGACAGACATGCACAAATACCTGAGCACGTAAACACATGCATAACATCCATACCAAACACATGTGCGGGCTTGTGTGCCTGTAGAAAAAATGCATGCAAGTATGCAGGTTGTGCACTGGCTTGCACTATGCACTGTCCAACTGTATCCCCGCTTTCGCGGGCCTAAGTCCCTGCCGCCTTGGCGTGAAACCAGCTTGTCACTGAACCAACCTCGATGCCTGATGACCGTGCCTCAACTTCTCTGACAGAAGCCTCATGCAAGTGGATACGAGTACTGCGGGCTCGCCTTTGTGCGTGTGCGTGCGCGTGTGCGTGTGTCTGTCTGTCTGTCTGTCTGTCTGTCTGCCTGCCTGCCTGCCTGCCTGCCTGCCTGCCTGTCTGCCTGCCTGGCTGTCTGCCTGTCTGTCTGTCTGTCTGTCTGTCTGTCTGTCTGTCTGTCTGTCTGTCTGTCTGTTCTTTCGCCAGGGCTGTGGTGCAGG